GACCTTCCAACGTGTGGACGCCGTCACCAACTCTCGGCCAATATATTCGCCACTGTGTTGGCCAACGTGTAGAGGCGACATAAAGTCTAAAACATAACAACATGAAACCAAAAAATTATTTTAAGTAAGCAAATACTTAACTAAAAACAAAAATAAATCATCACACAATCTCGCAAATATAGCCTTAAACAACTTAACAATAAGAATGATATTGATCGCACACTGCACCAAAAATTCAGCAACACATAATCTCGCAAAGCCAATATAGACTTTACGTACTAAGCAGTAAGAATAATATTGATCCCATATCTCGGAATCTGTCAAAATCTGAAATCGGATTTTAGATTCGTTTTGATATATCCGACTCATACCTACAAACGGATGTCGGCAGCGTGAAAATCGCTATTATTTCTAAATATTACTCGAAATTATTTACATAAAAAGGTAAATTATATTCACACAAAAACTTTCATTACAATTTTATAATAAAACACTATACTAAAACACTAATCAAACACAAATAAAAAGGAAAAATCCAAAAATCAACACAATAACATTTACACGAAAATGGCGTACGAAGTGAACGTAGATTATAAATAAATATCCATAAACTAACTGACTTTTTATTCCACTAGAGGATAGAAAATTTCATATTAATTCTATAATGCCAATCTTCTTCATAGAATATTAGTCTCAAAACATAAGTATTGATGGGTTAAAGTGCTGTGGGTGGGTGCGGTCACATTTGACCTCTTGAATTTTGACGGAATATCGAAGCGGCCTTTGGACGCTTGCCGGTTGAGAAGTAAAATAAGTAAAACAGGTTTTTAATGGACATTATTATATAGATAGTATGTAGCGATTATCGTATCAGTGAGGGGCAAGCAATGTTCTCGTTCTCACTTCGACTTGATCCAGCCTGTCCTGGCCATGTCCTGGCCATGTCCTGGCAATACAACCAGGCTTGGGATTGAAAGCCAGAGACATTCTACCATAATAATAAAGAAATATACGTTAGATATAAATATAAAGTGAGATTTTATTAGAAAGTGGTGTATTTAATGTTAGTATTCGGTCTATATAACGGTCTACCTATGAAATTGGCATTTTTTATGAAATAAGTTAACGTAATTTTTTTCTATAAATTTTATTTCTATTAATCAAAGTAATCACCCATGCAATCGATGCATCTTTGCCAACGCAGTGGCAGCTTCTTGAAGAAGCAACAAATTCTTCAAAGGCATTTTCGTAATACCTGTCGGATATTGAATTTTTTTTTCGCCAAAAAGACATTTAAATTCTGAAAAAGAGTAAAGGTCTGTAGGCGCAAGGTCTCGTGAGTACGGCGGATAATGGAAAGCTTTCAACCCCAGCACTTGTTACTTAAGAGACCGTCTGTTGTGCAGTATGAGGTGAGGTAGCGCGTTGTCATGCAGGAGCAGCGGGGACGAGCGATTGACCAAAGCTGGTTGGAGACGTGCGAGCTTCTCCTTCATTGTGTTCAGTTCTTCAGAGTACACATCTGCAGTAATGCTCATCCCGTTAGTTAAGAAGCTGTGATGAAACACACCGGCGCTTGACCACCTAACAGTGACCAGCACTTTTCTAAGGAGCACTTGCGATTGTCAAACAGAATTCTTTTTTCGTCGCAGATAACAATGCGGTTCAAAATTTCTTCGTTTGTGTGTCTGCTAAGCAGTGTAAGGCACGTCTCGACGCGTACTTCGCGCTGGCTATCATTGAGTTCGTGGGGCAACCATTTTTCAAGTTTTTTTTACCTTGCCAATTTGACGCTTAGTTATCAATATTGTTTTGGTGCTAACGTCGAAAGCAGCTGTTAAATCAGCCGTAGATTGAATATCATCAGCTTCCACAATCGCCTTTAATTCATCACAGTCGACCAAAGTTTTCGGACGACCACGGAGTTCATTTTTCAGGTTGAAATTTCCAGAACGGAAGCGGGCAAACCAATAACAGGTAGTGCATTTGCATTTTGATTCTTAATTGAGGATAAATGTGTATGTCTATGGGCCATAGAATCCACTTACCACTGTGGATTGTGTGCTTGCTTGCCACCCAATGCTATAAAACAAAAGTTGAAGCATGTGCCCATGTCACAAAGGATGATTGGGCAAAAGTGGTAGAAAAAACAAAAAAAAATGATTATAGATGACTGACTGACTTTGAAAGAGACATTTATTTTGACTGCATTATTGAAAATCAAATAATAATTAATATAAACAACGACATCTCTACTAGTTGTACTGAAAGTGATTGAATAAATTTGTTTTTATCTAGTTTCAATCTTATATTTTTATAACAGTACCTCTAGAAATAAGCAGTAACATTAAATACGAAGAAAATGATAAATCCTGTGTTTTAAATTATCCGTTTTTAAATTATACTGGTATTATTCAAACCAAACTATAAATGATTACCAACTCTAAATAATCGATATCAATTTTTTAAGAATCGAATATTGTACGTTCCCATATTTTGGTTGGCATGCTTAATGCATTAAGTCTGACAGCTGTCAAAATGTATTTCTTAGATTTGGTTGACTATAATATTCAAAAAAAAGAATTTTTTGGATTTTAAATGACCAGTGCTGCGGCAATTTCAATGTCATAGGTGAATATCTATTATTTACATCTTCCAGGTTAGGTCGTACTAGTGACGTATGGACATTTATCATTTTTCAAGGCAAGTTCTAGCAAAGCCCTTTTTAAAAACAAGATTTCGATGGGTCTGCTTAAATCCCACTTGCTTGGTACCTACCCAACACATAACATCGTCACGAATAGGCTAACGTAGCCTAGTCTCATTTTACGATACTGTTAAGGTCGTTGAACCAACTGCGACTTATTTACAAAAAAAAAATAGTAACATTCGGTCGTGGTACTTTAACATAAGACTCAATTCCAAAAGGGTGTTTAACTAACGTAATTGTTTTTAAGGTAAGTGACATCAAATTATTTTATTACTCGGATCTTAGCTAATTCATTTTCAACATCTGTAATATCCCTTACAGCACGACAAAAAATATTATAATTAGTAATGAAACCATGCAGTTTTACATTTATGGTCTAAGGGTTCCTAAAAAAATAGTATAAAAAAATCGTATTCCTCCAGGACCCCCCAAATCACCGTCGCATGAAAGTGCGCTGTCGTGCTCAACTGTGCCAACGCAACTTTGTGCGTTCGAGGGAAATTAAATAAAAAACCATGCTTTTACTATATTATTTGTAATGTAATCAGTCTTTTTAAGGACATTTATAATTAGGAACCTTTATTCTTAATTAATAACTATAATTATTTGGTTCTCAACCCGTATTTAAGTACTTAATATTACTTGGAAGCAACAAAATTATTTTATCAACTAGTCAGTCAAAGTATTCTTAGGTAAAAAGAAGTTTTCAAAATAAAATTAAAATTCTCAAACAAAAACATTATCAATTCTCAAAAAAAAAGAAATCTAAAATTAACCACTAATTGTAAGTACCAAGTTTCCATGGACGGCATTAAAAGTTACTTAGAGTGATACTCCAAAAAGCAATTTTGCTTTCGTAGTATACACAAGTATACATCACACTTTATGCATTTGCATCTGCATTTTCTGCCTCTTTTAAGGTCATCTAAGACTGGCATGTGATCAAACTTGTCAAATCGTTTGTCAAACGAAGGAGCAACAGATGGCCTGTATCTTTTAGACGGTTTTTCCTCTGGTTCTATCTGCAACTCCTGCGAGGTTGTTGGTTTATTGTTATTTTCAAACTGTCGAGACTGATAACCTATTTATCAGTCTCGATATACTGTTGATGAGTGCGTCGGAAGATCTACCCTAAACCAAAGTAGATATTTGCCTTTGGTTTTGTTAGAAGCGCAGTCTCTGTGGTACTTTCGCCAAGCATTTACAACTGCTAGATCTAAAAAGTGCATCATCACCTTAACTGTCCACTTTCTGGTCTTTTGGTATGTCCTATAGTATTCTAAGAGTTGGTCTAGGACGTCAACTCCCCCCATATTTTTATTGTAATTCAAAACAATACGTGGGGCACTGACGTCGACATATTGTTTGGTCTTCTTCCACCATCTCGAAATATAACTTGTATTGTTTCCACCTGTGCAGTTCGATGCCATAAGAACACCCTTGTTGTCTTTCCACTTAACAAGTGCAACATCTTTGGAAGTATATTGCACCACATCACCACGCTGTAAACCTTTGTCACTCTTGAGATCCAGTTTTTTGTGATCTGGTATTCGGTTCAGCATGATGTGCCTGTACCACCATGTAGATTAATCTCCTGAAGTCGGTCTAACAGAGGTATTGTATTAAAATAACGATCAAAGTAAAGGCAACTATTTGGTGGAACATTTTTGGCTAGACCTAGAATTACTGCTGGCCCCTCTCCTAAGAATCTATCTTCAAAAGCAGGATTATTTGGGTAGTATATTTCGAAATCTAGCATGAGATCATCGCTGGTAGTAAGAACATAATTTTTAAGTCCTAGCGGTCTAGGCTAATTTTTGACAAGTATCTTGAGATGGCATTTTCCTGCAAACGGTATAATCTGTTCGTCGATGGAATAGAATCCTGGAACACGTTCAAGCTTCATGCAGGTATTTTTAACAGCGTTAATCACTGGTAGTACCATCCAAAGAGGGTTTGTGTTTCCCTCTGGAGCATCCTCCGTAACCACGACATTCATATTGTTACGCAGCAAAAAAAATCGTTCTCTTGGTATTTTTTCGGCAATGATGTCCAGTCTCATACCCGATCGCCAATACATGTGTATACGTGGAAACGGTGTACAACCCATAATCAGAAAAATGCCAAACAATTTGCGCATTTCCTGCTTATTTGTATTCAAAACTATTCCTTTTTTGCGCAAAGCGTAAATATTGGTGCAGGAGGCCATAATTTCGAAAAAAAAAATCGTTAAAATACTCTTCAAAATATTGTAGTGGGGTTTTAATATCTTGAGCTGGGAGGCTAGTACTGTACTCATGAGTTTTGTCATTAAATTCAGTTCTTCTCCACAGTCTTGGCCGTTGTTTTTCGCGGATGTTTCTGGCCGTATTAGAACTACTAGGCGGGATATTCTCGCGATTATTTCGTGCAATTTGAGCCATAGGTACATCAATTTCTGGATCAGACTCATTTTCAGCATTTGGTAATTCCTGATCAGGTATATCTTTATCCAATAATCGACGAACTTCGATTCCGGGCTGGGCTTCCTCGTCTGATATATCTAAGTCTGACTGGGACCCATCGCCCAAAAGCTCAAAGACCAACTCCAAGCTTTCCATCTTAACAATTAAGAATCAATTAACGTAAATATAGCAAAATAAATACAAAAACAAAACACTTACTGCGGCCGCGGTCGTCCACGAAACAACCATCCATCTCGCACAAGTGACCGCGGGTCACTGTCGCGAAGTTGCCGCGAGTTTTCATTTTTGGCGGCTTGCTAGGTTAAGCGGGCTACATACGACATGATATCGGTGGCGATCTAGGGTGGAGTAGTGGGGATGCCTCTAAATCGTGTCGTATGTAGGGCCATCCTAAGTCGTGGCCGATATCGCCTCCTTAATCGGCTGGCAGGAGCAAAAATGCAGCCGATGCTTCCTAGATCGGGGCCCCGCCCCCTCCGTACTGCGTGTGTGTAGGCGCATCGGCCCGATTTCTTTTGGCAGTCGCTGCCGGCAGCCCTCGCGGAAGGACGTTAACGAAACAGTGATACTGAATGACCTTTTTTTACATAACAAAATTTCTACATTTTAAACATGTGAACGGAGTAGAAACCTATGGCACTGATATTTTACAAAAACAAAAAATTTGAATAAATAAATAAATTAAAATCTATCGAAATTCAAATCATATCCACCCTAGCCCGTGATCTGGCGAAGTCAAGCCTACTAAACTAACTGTTTTATTGCCGTTCATAAAGTAGGGTGTATGAAATAAGTAAGGAGAGGATAAAGCCTCTCCTCAACAACTAACTCCTATTCTAACGCTATCAACACAAGACCGCACTCAGATCTCTTACGTGCCTTCATCCTCTCATCAACAACTAACTCCTACTCCTTCACCATCTCCACATCAATAAACAAGCTATATAGAAGGGAGTATGTCCGAAATTAAAGGTTTCTTTATGTTTAAAAAAAAGATATAAGCTATTTTATTTTTTGATAGTTTTGATCCAAAAACAAACAAGATTACATTAAAAAAAGTATACATATTATTATACAAAAGTATTTTATTTCTTTGTTTGTTGTGTGTAGTACATAACCCGATTTTGACCAAAGCAGAAATGAACAAAGAGAAGAAGTAACTAAATGGCATAGGTAGGAGAAATTGATGATTTTATATAAGTTGCGAAATAATAAATATAGAAAAATTCTAGAAGGTTGTAAAAACTGTCTTCATCCATCCGGAGAAAATTAACCATGTCTTTGGATTACAGACCATTTAGTACGTTTATGTGGCTTAATTTTTGTCTCTTTTGGAGCCATTTTTTCACCCAGCAACTCCTCTTTTTCTATTTTCGAATAAATTAACCAAGATGGCTAATTCCAAACCAACACGTTGGTGTTTTAAGAAAGTCGGAGGTATTTTGAAGAACTCTACCGCATATGCGTTCCGCCCCAAGTCCAAACGCGTACTGCTAGGCAGGCCCGTGTGTAGGGTCTGCCTCGATAAAAGCCGATTTCTTTCCACCCTAGATCGCCACCGATATCGTCTCGTATGTAGCCCGCTTTAACGCACAAATGATCGAGACGGTTTTGGAGCGGTAAAATGAAATATTCAAACTCCAGGAATTTATTTTTTATGAACGCACGATTGGTTAATACAATGATGTAAGGGTTATAATGGATTACCGCAGAGTAACGCCTGATTTTATTAATTATTGTTTTTCTTTTTAAACAAAAGGATAGAAATATTTTTTTAATAGCAGTTACAAAAACGTTCGTTGTAGCTATAAAGGCTATGGAGCTTGGTGAGCGTTCAAATCTCTAATTTTTTTACCGACCATCCAAACTTAGTTCCGGTTCGGGTTAGAAACAATCGTAAGTTCGGGTTCGGGACCTTTTCACATTTATGTTTTTGGTGGGACATTTTTAACTATAAAACGGCATATAGTATCATGTTGCATAGGGGCTCACAGTTAGCAGTTGCACGTTGTAAGATTTCAATATAATGATTTGTATAGCGCTATTATGTCTTTTTTTTAATATTCCGAAATACATTTTTATATCCGTTCTACATATTTGAAGAGAATGAAATAGCTGCCTCTTTTCTTGTGGTTTCTTAAATCGGTTATTAATTTTCGTTATTCATATGATTGTAAGTATGTTATCAATTGCTATTAAAGAATAAGTAGATAATAGTTGTTTTTAATTATATTTAAATTTAACTTTTAAAACTTTTCGCAAACATTCGTGCCTTCTCTTAGTGCTTATTACTGAGCAATTTGGCATTAGTTTCAACAGTGCCTTTTTTGAAAAAAAAAAAGTAGCGTTGCTTCGATTACTTTCAAGGTAAATTATACCTTTATTTGTTTTATTTTTCTATTATTTAATAAATAAATTGTTTACTTTTATGGAATTGTATGTAAACTTTAATTTTTTCATGCTTCCTCTATTCTCTTTGCCACTCTTTCCTCATAGTGTTGAGGTAAAAATTAAAATTTCTAAATAAATAAATTCCAACTAACTATATAAAAAACAAGTTGAACTTCATTACCAAGCGAGTTAGTTCATTCGAATTTCGACTATAGCTCGTCGTCCCCAATTTATAGATGTAATTGAAGAATGTTATTGTCTACTTTCGTAATTAACAAAAAAATCGCTGGGTTTCTTGCTTCCCAGAACAGAGGTATTTTCTGTATCAATAATTATTTTTCTTTTAATATGATTAAGGGCGACACAAAGTTCACCTAATTCCGGATGGAAAGAGCTATGGCCGATGACCGATAGACGGCTATACTTATCCTCGATTTAGTTGCGTTATTCCCTAAGAAATAAAATGATATAACTTGTTGTTTTTTTACGTCGTAGAGCCATGCTGCAGTTATATTAATAGTATAGTTGTAGCACGAATGGGTCGGCTCGACCGGGGAAGAACCACGCTCTCACAGAATACCAGCGTCAAATAGTAGCTTAATGCTGCTGTGTTTCGTATGGTGAGTGTAGAGAACCGGAGACCATTTTTACTAGAAACGAGGCATTCCACCTAAGTCCTTACGGGTGACAACGTATCTGCATTTTGTTTCGTAATCGAGGACAGATGTAGAGGTCTCTGGGCCACAGCAACCACTTATCATGGGGTGGATCGGGTGGACTGTGTACTCGTTTGTCACTCTATTCTATAAAAAAAAAGAAAAACAAGTATAAAGAATCTTCGGTTCTCGTCGCTCACCTTCCTCACGCAGCAGCATTATGCTGCTATTTCATGCTGGCATGGTATATGCGAGCGTAATCCTTTTCTGTTGTACTGCAGCTATATATAGATACAGCGTGGCTCACTGCTGAACGTAAGCCAGGGAAACTTACGTTCAGCAGTGAGCCACGCTGCATATATTGTCTCATTTTGCCATAGTTGCCACGCTTGGCAGGCGAGTTGGTAACCGCAGTTTTTATCTCTAAGATGCTGCTGCCCATCCAATGTTACAGTTGTCCTCTGGTGCCTCTTACGACACCAACGTGGTGGTATAGAGTAGTGAATACCTTTGTCAGCGGCCTTTGACATTACAAGGCGGCGCTTTTGTAATGTCAAAGGCGCCGTAACAGGAGAATTTGGCAATTTAAAACAAAACACCGTAGTGAAAGGTTCTTTGCTACCTCACTTGTGTCTATTATTTATATTCGTATTTTATTAAAAAACTATAAGAATAATATAGTATGTATTCTATTTTACTTATTCTTAGAATAGAAAAATTTTTATTTAACAATCACAGTAATAAATATCCAAAATAAAAGCAAAATATTACTCCGGGTGGTTTATTCGTGTTCTTCTGCATATACCGTTTTTATTAGAATTCTATGTATATCTTGATAAATAAAAAGTTATTGACGGACTTGTCCAACTCAATCTATTTTTTAATCTCTTCGTCTATCTTTTTTTATAGGATAGGGTGACAAACGAGCACACAGTCTACCTGTTTGGTAAGTGGTTGCTGTGGCCCATAGACATCTACATCTATCAAATCAATATCAAAATGGAGATGCATTGTCACCCGTGAGGACTAAGATGGAATGCATTGTTTCTAGTAAAAAGGGTCTCCGGTTCTCTTCACTCACCATACGAAACACAGCAGCATTAAGCTACTATTTTACGCTGGTATTCTGTGAGACCGTGGTCCTTCCCTGGTCGAGCCGACACATTCGTGCTACAACTATACTACTAATATAACTGAAGCATGGCTCTACCACGTAGATATAACTGCAGCATGGCTCTACCACGTAGATATAACTGCAGCATGGCTCTACCACGTAGATATAACTGCAGCATGGCTCTACCACGTAGAAATCATGTGGAAAGCCATGGAATGTAAATGGCTGTTTAATTTTGTATTGTTTAGTTATAATTAATTTTTTTCGGCTGAGGATTTCTGAAATTTTCAATGTTTGAGCAGCCTCGCAATAATATATTTTACTAAATACAGATACACTTTGACTCACTCTCACTCCGGGCTCGGCCGCCGTCGTGAGTAGCTTACTGTATCGTTTGTTTACAGCGTCTTGTGATGAAATATATCGCTCGCTATAGAAATATAAAAATTTTATTTTACGCTGACGCTGTTAAATTTGTAAAACGTCGTCCAATAATCGACATATCAGTTACAGGTGGCAAACTTCCTGGCGCGGGCGCCACAGGCCCACATGGCGTCGGAGCGCGGCGTCACCTGGCACACGCCCACGCCGCCGCCGCACCTCTACCACGTGCCGGCGCCGTCGCCCCCTGACCCACTGCAGGTAACAGTGGACGTGACGACGACCTTTTACGGGCACAAGCTACTTGTATCAGTTACTCGACTCCACAGAGTAATTCATTCTTGGGGGCGATGTACGCTTCTACAACAAAATCTGACATCCGCCAAGTTTAAAAGCTTTAATAAACAAAGATTTTATAAAAAGGGTTATTATAATATCAAGGAATTTATAGATAATGATAATAACCCCTGGGAATGAGGTGATTGCTAAAATGCTATTTTGTAACTTTAACTATTGTTCACTGTTCTTTTTTCAAAAACAAAAGTCCTGCTGGTTCTTCCCAGGACAGAGATATTTTTCGAACCAGTGGTAAATTAAGCATAAAACTGACTTCTAATAAAGTTTCTCGAGTAGCAGCCTCGTAAGGGTAGGCCTCGTAAATGTAGGGTAAGTTTACCCTGTTATTATTTCCATTCTGGCACAAGTATACACTCATTGTAATGACGATGTAATTATGTATGCGTTTTCAATCGTTCCACAATATGAAGTATATTTTGAAAAACTTTCTTCGAGAACTTTAATCAAGGATAAATGTAGATGTCTATGGGCCTTAGCATCCACTTATCATCAGGTGGACTGTATGCTCGTTTCTCACCCTTATTCTATTTAAAAAAAACTAAATAGAGTTCTTAAGTTCTTAAAGTCTTTAAACTATCATCTTCCTTTTTATCATAAGCTTGTAATAATAGTCCACTGCTAGTTATAATTGGCTTCTCCCATTGTAGAGAGGATTTGCCTTAATCGTCACGCTTGACAAGCGGATTGACAAATGCAGTACCAGACGTCTCATACCTTTGACGCTGCAGCTCGTCGTCGGTCTGGGTACAGGGTTGTTTTGCAATAACCAGCCAAATTTGCAGAGAACGTTCAGAATAAGTAATATAGGATTGTGAAGAAAAATTGATTAAACTAAGTCTCAAACATTCTGTCCTTTTTATCTTTTAAATTCAAAATGCGCAGTAATGCATTATTCTGATTTCACTGCGTATGCATACATTCGTAAGGGTCGATCAGTAGGCAAAAACGTTGCCCATAAATCACATTCAATTTGGGATAGTTTCAAATAAAAAAGACTTATTTATTCGTAATTTTGAAAACCGCAACAACGGTATATCATTATTTATATAATTGTACTTAAGTTTAAAATTTGGCTACTGTTTTAAAAATAACCCTGTATTAGGCCTGGTGCAAATGCAAACGAGATGGTCATACCCATATATCGGAAGCCATAAGATGTTTTGGTTTACACCCACGGGAGGAGTTGGTTTTTTTTTTTTTTTTTTTTTTTTTATAGAAGAGGGGGGCAAACGAGCATGTGGCTCACCTGATGTTAAGTGACTACCGCCGCCCATGATCAACCGCAACACCAGGGGAATTGCAGGTGCGTTGATGGGTGCGTTGGTAAGATGGATCCGCTTACACCCCAACAAACACTGTTCACAATATGTCTTCAAAATTACAGATTATTTTGGTGTACAGAAGTGGATGAAAACTTTATACTAAAATTTAAATACGCGCAATCATACATTAATACAGGTCAAACTAATAAAAAAGAAAATTAAAAACCAGTGATTTAAACACAGCAAGGACCTACATTTATTTAAAAACGTGTTTCTCATTTGATGCATTTGATGATTTTCCGTCACAGATTCTCGGATTCAATTATTGTTAATAAATTACCTTCAAACTTATCAAGTTTTTAACAATAAACACTTGTTAATGTAAGGAAGAAATCTTTTAAAAATTAGTAATATCAGCAGTTAAGCTGTAAAAGCTGACATCTGGTAATAGTTTGCGTTATGAATAAGACTGTTATCAACGTATAAGATTATATGATAATATATCCCCATATCATATCATCGTACACAAATAGATCTGTTTGATTTTCGATGTTTAACTTTCAGTTTGAAAAATGTATTGAGGCCGATTTTGTCTACCTCAATTTCAGTATTATCTTCTCGTTTTGAAACGCCTTATGGGTGCGTTAGACCATGCGTGTGTGCGTGCGGGTGTTTCGTACTTCAGTGGACTTTTTATGGTCTCACATTGAGATATGAACGAATAGTGATATCGACTTTAAAACTTAATAAGTTATTATTTAATCTCATTTGAAACTTCCAAAATGGAAATTTCCTGTTCATATAAGCAGACTGATTCACATCCTCGCATTTTTTTATACAAGATCGATTAGAAAAGGCAGTCAATCTTGTTTTAATAATATCCTAAGTCTTAATGTTAGATTGGGTTCTCCTTTTTGTTTCTCTTTACAACAATTTATTCGAAAGTAATACTCAAACTAGAATTAAATTTTATGATAATTGATAGAATCAATTCAATCCAGTTAAGACACATCATTGTATTTAGTTAGTGGAAGGTTGCAAATTAATTAATATTTTTATTATATTTGAATTTTACTCTAGTAAATCATATCCAAAACAGAAAACAAGTATATCTAAAGAAAATTACAAAATTACAGCACTTAGAATGATAATGAATTAGCATTATTATTCTACACATAATAAATTGCATCTGTTTTTCAGCTATTTTGGTTCTGTTCGCAACGCATGCATTTATTTCGCCCTCTTTCGCCAATTATTGAATGCTGATTGGTAATTAGTCACTATTATTCCGTTGAGACGGTTTCTTTTAATGAATATTTTATATAAACTCTTTTGTTTTGCGATTTCAGGCAATTAAAGGTGCGGCCGGCAATTCAGTGTTCCGACACACGGCGACACCGCCCGAGCTCTACAGACACACGCCCACACCGCCCGACAAACATTTATTAAGGTAAGTCTCAGTCAGTATCTGTATAAATCAAAGATTTGTAAGGGTCGCTAGGGACTTTAATAAAGAGACCGTGGACTATTAACAAAATAATGTATTACGTTGTTAACAGTCCATGGTACTATAAATAAATAGTCAATATTCAGAACTATGGTCAAACCATTTGCTATCATGATAAATTTTTCCATATATGGAAAAATTGATTTTAATTAATAATTAAAACCAGTCATACTATATATTTATATATGTGATGATCTTGTTTGGTGTAGGACATCCATGACATTTAAGAAGTTGAGTTGCCTTTTTATGTCACAACACAATCAACAAGTTGTCCCAAAATCTACAAAAACAAAAGAGTGAAATTCTTAGTATGGCTATTTAGTGCGGTGATGCAAATATATCACATTGTTATTAAGTATATCATTGTTATTTCTAGGCATACTCCATCGCCAGGTGATGTCAAAGCAAATGCTACGTTAGCTTCAGCTGAGCTGTACCCACATTTAGGTCCAGGCCGAGGTGAGATCCGACATGTTTACAATTCATAAATAGTTTATTTTTGTGTCTTTTTTGTATTTACCTTAAATACTGCTTATTACTGTCCACCAATGTGCAGAAGAGCAGTGCATTTGACTAATTGCTCCTTATTCCTATTAGAAAGCCGGTGCCAAGCACTTGGGCATACACCCCATATCAGCTTATCAAAAGTCAGAATGAAAACAGAAGCATACCTCATATATTATCTCATGGGGATATTTGTGGTGGTTGCCATGTTTGTGAGGCCTGGATGTAACCGCATTTCTTTATATTGAGTTGTTATCAGAAAGATGCTGCTGACCATCTCCTGTTTAATATCCCTCTGTCTTCTCTTGTTAATCGAGTGTAAGAAATCCACTACCTCGTATCATCCCGTGGGTGTCATAAAGGCGACAGAGGAAGAAACTAGAACAGGACATGGAGAGCAGTGCCTAATAAAAAATTTATAAAAAAAAAAACGGCAATTGCCAACCTTCCTGCATGCATGAAAACTAAGCCAAATATATCCTTCTCATAATGCAATTTATTTAAGAGGAGAACATAGGCCACACCGAATAGGCCAGAATAGGTGACAGTGAACCTTGATAGGCTGTAATGGTTGTTTTTTTTATACTATAAGGGTGATTAACGAGCACACAGTCCACCTGATGTTAAGTGGAACTGTGGCCCATGGACATCTACATTTATCTTCAATTAAAATGCAGATGCATTGCCAGCCCTGGCGGACTGAGATGGAATGCCTCGTTTCCAGTAAAAAGGGTATCCGGTTATCTACTATCACCATACAAAACACAGCACCATTAAGCTGCTATTTTACGCTGGTATTCTGTGAGAGCGTGGTCCTACCCCGGTCGAGCCGACCCATTCGTGCTGCAACCACAATATAGCTGCAGCGTGGCTCTACCATGTAAGATGTACCACATAATGGTGATAATGATGATGAAGAAAGCAAACTCAAATTGCCTAAAGCCGTGTCATATAATAACGCACAAAAGCAACTTTAAAGCCAACCCAAAATTAGTTGAAGCATAGAACAAGCTGCCATCAGAAAGTGATATTAGCACAAAACATTAATTAACTAATTTATGAACATTAGATAAGTACATTAAATCATACATATACAATCTAATATCAGTTGTTTCAATAGCTTTCCTGCTAAATAATAATAATAAAACCTCTTCACTCTTTCTACTGAAAAGGGTAGAAAAACGTCTACAGGGATAGCTAGTATAATAACAGATACAAGATCGTTCAGCGAGTGTTATGATGTAGAGGGTTACCGGTAAATAAAGGTCCTCGTGTGGAAGCCTGGTACTGGTAAATGAAGTGAAGGGTGGGTGGACTAGCATTCTGCAGTGGAATTATGAAGAGCTGTGTAATGATGGTGATGATGCAACAGTTTATTTTTATTTTACGAGCAGCTGTGCAGGTCTTATGAGATCAGTACCACTGGGACCAGTAAGATCTATTATTTTTTTTACAGAATAAGGATGAGAAAAGAGCACTCAGTCCATCTGATGGTAACTGGATGTTGTGGTCCATAGACATTTACGTTATCCTCCATTAAGAATTATTCACCATACAAAAACATCTCTATTTATTATTAATTTGATGTTGATATTTTGTGAGAATTTGCTTTTTCCCGGTCGAGCTGAACCAATCGTGCCTATATCTATTAAATTTTCTTATATTTTTAAACATGTTTGTTTTGAAACCATCCTACCTACATAAATTCCACAAGGGCAAACATCCAGACCTGGACAATTACTTGTATTCCACATAAATACTTGCTCTGTGCGGGATTCAAACCCGCGGACTCGCTGCAACTCATTGCTAAGAAACTGCGCCACAGAGCCGTATCGTCAGAGACAATATATTTGCAGCGTGGCTCTACCACGTATAAAATCGGTTGCAGATAAGCTGGTGCGCGCGGAGGAGTTGCTCGCGTACGCGCGCGGCGGGGGCGGCGGCGTGGACCTGACGGTGGGCGGCGGGCGCGGCGCGAACGGCTCGCCCGCGCCCGCTCTGTCCGTGCGCGACGCGCCCACCATCAACAGCCTCATAGCGCGCGCCGCGCCGCACGCGCCCCTCGCGCCACACGCGCCCCATGCGCCGCACGCGCGCCCACCCGTCGCTCGCGTCGACGCACTGCTCGAGCGGCTCGCGCCCGCCCCCGCCCCCGCGTCCGCGCCAGCCTCCGCGCTTTCCTCAGCGCCCGCGCCTGCTTCCCCGCACTCAGTCATCGTACACCCGCGCGCCGCGCACACGCCCTCACCACCATCTTCTAATGAGGTAATCAATAATTACTAGTGGTCGTTTTATACGTGGTAGAACCATGCTGCAGTTATATTAGTAGTATAGTTGTAGCACGAATGGGCCGGCTCGACCGGGGAAGGACCACGCTCTCACAGAATACCAGCGTAAAATAGTGGCTTGATGCTGCTGTGTTTCGTATGGTGAGTGTAGAGAACCGGAGACCCTTTTTATTGGAAACGAGGCATTCCATCTTAGTCCTCACGGGTGACAGCGCATCTGCATTTTGATTTGTAATCGAGATGATGTCGAGAGATGTCTATGGGCCGCAGCAACCTCTTACCATTAGGTGGACTGTGTGTTCGTTTGTCACCTTATCCTTTAAAAAAAAACACGTCATTTTGTGTGCAACCATACACGTGTGAAATTTTTCAGAAGTGTGTTTTGGTCTAAAGTAGTTCTCGCTTTACTATCACTCGTGTCTTGTCTCACTACAAATTGGTTGTCCCATTACATTAAAAAAAAAGGTTTTATCCAAAATCTTACACAGTAACACTATAGAAAAATGGAAACAAACTGTGCTTTATCACTTTAATATGGGACAGACGAAATAAATTTAATTGTCTCATTGCGGTTTCTTGCTAGTTTTCCCCTAGAAACGACGTATTTTCCAAACATCATGTAATCTGAAATTTCGTGTATTTAAAAAACTTGTTTGTATTTCTGATATTTACTACTAATAACTACTGTCTGGGTCTATCATCGACTTAAACTTGACATCAAACAGAAGTATTCTTAAAAGTATATTATTTTTGTATGGTTTGTAAAGCACACACTTTTTAGAAGTAGAGTTGTAGTTTGTTGATGAGCACATCCAAAGGAAAAGATCACCCCACACATGTTAAAAGTTTAATTATAAAGTAAAATAGTTAGTGGCAAATCTTTCCTTGAGTAGTGTAGTTTCCTTGGTGTTTAAAAAGACGATTATTGACATACTGCCGATTGTAAGTTTGCAATTAAGTAAGTAAATTTAAATACACGCGACGCGCGGCTAAAAGGTTGCAGCGTTTACTAAATAAAAATGTGTGATGTAACCGTACAATTTTAGAAGAAAAAAAAATACATTAATTTACTGCTATATTCCAGTTTGAAGTTACTAGACACAGTATAATGAAAATTAATTAGAATATATTATATAGACTTATTTCATTTTGACGACCTGGCGCGTCGTTCCTTGAAAGGGGAAGCCTATGTTCAGCAGTGGACTTGTTAAAAGTAGTAATGATGATGATCTTTTTTCTGATGCATGACAATATATTTTGTTTAAAGTTAGCTGCAAGTGTAAAGGCACTGCATTTAGTTAACTTCACGTGTAGGCGCGTATTTTGCGTGTGGGCAGGAATAATGTGATTATTCGAACCAAGAAATCTCCCTGAAGAAGTTCAACAGTCCTTTGATGTTACATACAACTTGGGGGAGCGATCCCGGCGTATTTAGCCCTGTATGAAGCGACTTTCGGACATGTCAGCAACATGTGAGCCGCCGTTTCTTCCTCCCTCATGCATGTCTTGCACAGGGGGCTATCTGTAACACCTATGGTAAATAAATGTTTGTTAAAGGAGCCATGTTCTGTGATAACAATTAGAACCTTGGTTAGACAACTGTTTATTTCAGGCAGAGCCTCTCTAGCTTGTCTACAGTCTACTAGATTTTCCAAAGCTGAGCATGTAGATTATTGAAGTGTACGTAGTGAACGAACATAACCAAAGGGGATTGGTATTATTGATTCCGGCCCTATAGTGGCCAGAGCCGATCCCCTTCTAGCCAGTTTATCTGCTGCATCGTTGCGTCTTGATCCACTGTGCCCCTTAATCCATTGCAGTCACATTGTTGTGATTAGATACCTCATTTAATCATTGATGGCATTCATAAATTAGCCCCGAGTTCACCACATTACAACTCAGAGCTTGTAGTACCGCCATACTGTCGGTTAGTATTCTGATGGAGAAGTCTTTTACCTTACTAGCATCTATTGCTATGGTTGCTTAGATGATACCCATACATTCCGCCTGAAAGACTGTGTTGTGGGTACCCAGTACATATGTGGATATTAAGGTCTTCAGAGAAAGTTCCAGAACCTACACCTTCATTTCTTTTAGAACGTGAAAACTCTAAGCTCTTTCGGGTTTAATCCATAGAATACTATAATACACAATAGAATGGCTGTCAACTTTATTTTGTACGAGGTTTGGTGTCGCCAAACCCGATTCATTGTGTTACCGACTAAATAAATTTACACATTTTAGACTTTTGATTAATGATATTTATTTGTAAACAGGGTGCAATTTGGCATTTTTTTTAATAATTTGTATGCGAAATTTGGAAACGGTTGTAACGCCAAAACACATCTCGTGTTGACATTTATATGTGTGAATTGACGTGTTAGTGACATTTTAGTGGCTATGCGGGCTCCGCCCACTCTCCCGTTCTATTATGTATGTATTATAGTATTCTATGGGTTTAATCCCTCTGGATGTTCGATTTCATTTAATTGTATCTTGTACTTCTTATCGAATACAAATTTCTTTGGGAACTTATCATACTTGGCTTGTAAGATAGGAAGTTTCGAATAAATTCTATCAATTATATACCTGTATGAGGGACTCTACTCTTACTTAAAAGATTTAGGGTATTGAGTCTAATGGCAGCTAAAGTTGCTTCTTATTGTGTAGATGAAATGGGGTTAGCTCCATTATAGCCTCTAAAGCTGCTGTTGGTGTAGTTCTTATGCAGCCTGTGGCAGCCATACATGCCAATCTCTAGTAACACTGAAGCTTCTTTATAGTGATGGCTTCATTAGTTTCGCTCCACCATACCAGAGGAGCCGTATGTGATCATGGACCGAATTATAGTTTTATACAGCCACAGTATAATTTTTGGCGTCAAACCCTATCATTTGCCAATCATGTTTCTGCATTGCCAGAATATTATACTAGCCTTGTTGATTTTGTTTTATATGTGTTTATTCCAGTTGAGTTTACTGTCCAAGGTAAGGCCTAAGTATTTTACCTCAGAGGATAGCTGAAGTTTTGTGCTGAAAAGACTTGGGAGATGATAGTTATTGAACATTCGTTTTTATGAGAACATTACCAGAACCATTTTGTTTGGATTAATGGTTAGATTATATTGCCTGCATCATTTCTCCACTATATGGAGAGCCGCTTGGGTCAGGTTGCACACTATGCTTGCTGTCTTTCCAGAGACCAGTATTGTCAGATCATCTGCATAATCTGTGTAGAAATGATTAGCATTTAATTTGCTGATGAGTTCATTAATGACCATGTTCCACAGTTGAGGTGAAAGAAACCCACCCTGCGGGCATCCTTTCTTGTTCTGAATTGTTTTAGATTCACCAGCAATCTTTATTGTTCGTGTACTGAGCATGTTCATTATCTAGTTAATCAGTGCTTGTTCAATTTTATGTCTACTTAGTGCATGTTTTATGCTAGAGAAGTTTGTTCTGTCAAAAGCCTATGTCTATGAAGGAGCCTAGACATATTACTTTGTATTGGATGGCCTCTTCAATCTTTGTTATTACGTGGTGAAATGCCGATTCTGTCGATTTACCTAAGCTCTAAGCGTGTTGTTTTTCGTGTAACGGTAAGTTAATTAGCGCCGACCCCCTCAAATCTCGTGTACACATTCTCTCCTCGTACTGCAGTATCGACTATTTGAGTGTGATTGAATAAATTTGACAAATTTTCGTATTTATAAATTTATGGAATTAATTTTATTAACCAAGAACTATAGCTGTAAAAAAAGTCTATTCATAAAATCAGTTTCTTAAATATAGATTAATGTTTAAGGACTCTACGGATTCCTGCGGCGCGCCTCCGGGAGCCAAACGGAAACGGAAACCGGAACGCACTATCCGTATGCCTGCCGTGCAACCGCCAAACACTGAGCCGCAGCGAGCACCAACGCCCACACCGGAACCAATCGAAACTCCCGTACTAGCGGCACGAGTCTCCCCACAAGGGGCACGATCCTCCCCACAAGCGGCACGAGTCTCCCCAAAAGCGGCACGGGTCTCCCCACAAGCAGCACGGGGCTCGCCAGTAGCTGCACGAGTCTCCCCACGCACGGCCCGAGTTTCCCCACACACGGCACGAGTTTCCCCACATATACAAACATTGACGCCGGTCGAGAACGGAGACGCTCACACCCACAATGGACCAGTCGAACGCCCACCCACACCCACCCCCACGCCTACGCAACCAGACCAACAACACTCAAGAAGAAAAACTCGCTCCGGCTCCGCAGAAACTATAGACGATATCGCCGCCATGATAGCCAGCACTGACAGTCGGGAACCATCGGAGCCGACACCAGTTCCAGACATACCAGAAACGCCAGTCTCGGTGGATAAACTTAAAAGTGTGCTGGCCAGTCCGGAGCCTGAAACAAAGTCTGAGCCGGAGAAAGAACCCGAGGCACCCCCTGTAGAAGCGGCCGCAGCGCCACGTAGACGTAGTGCTCGGACTTCTAATTCTGAATCTACTAATGTACCTGTTGAATCACCATCAGAGGTACTTATAATTTTTTAATACATGCCAAACATTATTCATTGTAATATTATAAAAGAAAAATGTACAATGAAAACAAAGTCAATTACATTGCAATTTAAAGTCAGAACTTGATATGAATTTTGAATAAAAATTAATTCAGGTTTAATTTTTAGTAAATGATTCAAATCGTTTTATTTTTAGGCAAAACCCGCTGAGCCTGAAGCTGAAGCAAGTAGCGCGGAACCAACAGCTGCTAGTTTTGTGGAAGTGGAGAACCAGTTGGAGAAGATGTTCGCCGGCCTTGAGGAAGAAGCGCCCTCTAACGCCGCAGAACCAAGCGAAAAACCACAAACAGCGAAAGCGAAAAAGCGACGAAAATCTGCACCGACTAAAGGCGAAAAGAAAGTGACAAAACGGGCCGGTCGAGCGTCGACTGAAGAAACGAGGAGAAAGACACCGAGGCGGAAAGGCGTTGAGACGACGAAAAAGGCAAAAGACGCGAACGTCAAAGATGCGTACGACTCGGGAAGCAATGCTAGCTCGAGTCGATCGCGAGGACCTTATATACAAGTGAGTTAGCCTAAATTTTTCTTTCATTGATTCATTACAACCTTCAAGCCATCAAAAGTCTGCTGCTGAACATAGGCCTCCCCCATAGAAAGTCTCATAGGGCGATTGTTGCTATAGTTGAAACGTATTGCACACTTTGTATTTCTGTTTAATATTATTTTATTTATTTTACTCCATATTTATTTATTGATTTCCATTTAGGGGAAATATAACCTCAAATGGCTTAGCAAGATCCTCCGTTATGTCGAAGATATTGCAGCATTAATTTTGAAATAAATATATGGTAAAGTTGAGGATTAATGTTAAGGTTTATGTTAGACGAAAACACGATTCCGTAAAATTTTCTCGATAGAAAAAATATCGAAAGTTACCTCCAAACTGAACAATAAACCGCTGTTATTCATAAAATACTTTAAATAAGATCATGAAACTTTGCATACTAACTGAACTAACCATAAAGCAGTGCTTATGTTATTTACTTTTTTTAAAATATCATTATTTTCACTGTAAAAAGAAATTACCTAACTATCGGCGCGTAAGCTTGGTTCCTGCGGAGCGACAGGAGTATGCAAAGTTTCATGATCTTATTTAAAGTATTTTATGAATAACAGCGGTTTATTGTTCAGTTTGGAGGTAACTTTGGATTTTTTTTCTATCGAGAAATTTTACGGAATCGTGTTTTCGTCTAACATAGTACTTAACATTAATCCTCAACTTTACCGTATATTTATTTCAAAATTAATGCTGCAATACTTTCGGCATAACGGAGGATCTTGCTAAGCCATTTGAGGTTATATTTCCCCTTAATGTTAAATACTATGTTAGTCGAAAACATGATTCCGTAAAATTTTCTCGATAGAAAAAAAATCCAAAATTACCTCCAAACTGAACAATAAACCGCTGTTATTCATAAACTTGGAAGCTTGGAACCGGGCGGCAGGAAACAAGCTTCAGGACGCCGATAGTTTAGGTGATTTCTTTTTACAGTGAAAATAATGGTAATTTAAAAAAAAATAAAAAACAAGCCCTGCTTTATAGTTAGTTCAGTTAGTATGCAAAGTTTCATGATCTTATTTAAAATATTTTACGAATAACAGCCGTTTATTGTTCAGTTTGGAGGTAACTTTGTATTTTTTTTCGATCGAGAAAATTTTACGGAATCATGTTTATGTTAGACGTAAAATATTCGAATACCGGCGACGGGCAGACGCCTCAAAAGTACAACATTTTTGTTACCAGACGTGATGAACGTGGCAAATACTTTCTAATGTACATGTATGGTGTTAACAATTATCATCATCATCATCATTATAACCTATCACAAATCTCTCTAATGCTCAAGGAATACTACAAAGCACAGGCTTGAGTCACCTGCATCTCATACCAGATTGTCACTCCATTTACTCAACTCTCATTTGAGAACCTTGTGAATAAAAACTCAAACTATGTATAAACACTTACATAAAATTGTCGGATCATAAGTTCAAATATATAAATAATGATATACTGTTATTTAAAATATGAGTAAATAAGGATTCTACTTTTATTTGAAATGATCCCAAATTGAAGGTGATCTATGGGCAACAATGTTTTTATCTATTGATCGACCCTTGTCACCCTTGACCCCGACAAATGTGTGTGTGCACAGTAAAATCAGTTAAAATAATTTTTTTTTAAATTAATTTTTCTTCACTATTTGCCTGTATTACTTATTCTGAACCTTTTCTGCAAATTTGGCTGGTTATTGCAAAATAACCCTGTATAAGCAAAATACCGCTGAGTCACTCACTTATCATGAAATCTCCAAAGCTATACGCCCAATGGACTTGAAATTTGTATACATATATACTCCTTTCTCAATGTAGAAACAAGGATTTTGGGAAATTCAACCCTCAAGGAAGTGAAATATGGTTTTACAGCTTGTAAATATATACTAAAATTGATACGATACAGAGAATAGCCCCTACGCAAGGATGACACGCAAAATCGTGAAGCGTTCCAAATTTTTTGGAGATTAAGTCACACTTTGTATTGATTGTTCTCCGGCCCCGCATTCCGCAGACTTAATGTATGGAATGACTGCTTCAGAAAAGTGTGTTTTTAATTCATACTGTATTATATACTTATACTGTTATAGATATGATGATTGCAACATCCTTCCGAAGAGGTATCTTTTTCTGTGATGTACATAATTATGTCAAAAGTAGTAAGATATGGATCTAGGCATATGAAATTATACAATAAAAAAGAGATTATTTTAAATAAAAATATGTAGATAAGGGTCGTAGGTCGTTATGAGCAGTGCTAAATCGATTGCAGATCGTGGGCCCGTGCGCGTCGCCGGTGTCGGTGGCGGTGGTGAACGCGGCGGCGGGCGAGGAGGCGGGCGGCGTGGCGGGCGGGGCTGGGGGCGCGGCGGGCGGCGAGTGGCGCAACGGATTGCGTGCGCGCGGCCTGCACGCCAGCACGCTGGGCCTGCGCTACGACGCGAGCACGCCGGATGCCTCCTGGCTGTGCGCCTTCTGCGAGCGCGGCCCGCACGCCGCCGCGCTCGGCGACCTGTTCGGCCCCTACGCCGTCGACACCGACTGCGACGAATACAGGTGACTTATACAACTCAACGCAGTGCCCCGCGTGCCCCACTACTTCCATGACCCACTTACGAGTCATAGCTGTTATTTTCTTTACGTGTGTATTTCCCAACAACCTACTTACACACTTATCCTTTCTCACGGGTCTTTATATCCCCTGCAATGCTTACTTGGTAGAGATCGTTTCTAAGCGATAAGAACACCAATAATAGCACCTTTAAAAATAATTTGTTGTCTTTTTCTCATACGTTTTTCTGGTGTAACAAAGTATATTTCTATCATTCATTTCCTTTTATTATTTTCTTCAGATAAAATGCGTACTAGAAACGCTATTAATATTATCAATACTCTTGTTGAATACTCCAAGAAGCTTAAATTAATATTAAAAGTGATTTAAATGCATTTAATTATTTCTTATTTTTACGACGATTCTACACATTAAATGAAACCACATGAGTAGATAAACGGAACAGAGACAAAGCTTCTTAAGGCAGGCTTACAAGCCCCAAATCAACCAAAAGAAGTATTTCCAAGCGCTTACGTGTGTGGGTATAAAAACATATTTATGAACTATAAAAATATTGTAGATAGAGAATAACCTGTTGCACTGGAGTAATGGAACATAATTTGAAAAAAACTGTTTGGTTTATTTTAAATTTTACTTTTACAAAATGACGAATTAAAAAAACTTTCAATTACTCTGAATTTTTAGCGACAACACGTTTTTTTTTTTTTACAAAATACATAGCCAAGCTAATGGTTTACAGAAGTATCGAATTAGATTTTTTATTTCATATTTATATTATAAGTAATTAGATGAAAACCCGCATAAAATATAATCTTCGAACTCAAGGCCACCATTATCATCAAGTATGATATGCGATTTTCAACTCAAAACCCGCTTTGGTTAGATAAAAAATAGACCGCGGTAAACCTTTTAGTTTGCGGGCAGCGCTCGAGTTGAAAGGTTGATTCCGCTCTGTGTCACGCTGCGCTCTCTGATTGACGCGCGGGTGAAAAACGAAATTCAAATCGTGCTTAGACTTCGTCTTAAGAGCGTAGACGGGCTGCATTTTTTCCATACAAATGTATTCCCCTATTCTCTTCCTGGATAATGTCTCTAGAGTATTTGTTTTTGTTTACAAAAATCTAGGAGGCATACCTCTGTCATTTTTTTTAAAATGATTACTAAAATAAATATGACTTTCCAAAAACCTAAAAAATGCCCCGTTTTTACCTCCGTAATGAGATGACTACCAAAGAAATTGGGAAGGTTTTTAAAATGATAAAAACAAATAATAGGAGCATAGATCCATTCTTTCTCTAAATTTTGATACCAAAAATAATTTATTCGCTTAGTGAAGAAAACAGGGTAATACGAAACGTCGATCGGTCATGGTTTTTGTAGATAAAATCGTTCTAAACTGCAGTTGTCCCTATCGCACTCTACGGGGGAAGATCAGAAGTGCGGGAGGGTTAGACTAATACTTCGTAGTATACTATCATTTATTTATTCTGCGCTAATACGTACGAAATTAGGAAAGTATTTTAACAGTGGTAGAGCCACGCGGCAGCTTTGCTGTTGCACGTATGGGCCGGCTCAAACCGGGGTGGTACTACGACCTCACAGAATACCGGCGTGAAGTGGAAGTTCTGCTTCCGCGTTTCGTCTGGCGAGTGCAGGTGGCCGGAGGCCCAAATCCCTCCCCCCCCCCATCAACATGGTAGCGGAATTAAATGATGATAGACTACCCCACGAGGGTACCAGCACCCCTGGAGATCCCTCGCTAAGCATCCACGACCATGTTTCTCCACTCCTGAGAGTGGGTGCTCAGGCTGCCCCGCGTATTCTGCGGGAGGCAAAATTCCGCTCAAGACTACATCTGCTCGGGCAAACGGAGCAACAAGACCAAGGCGACCCCTGCCACGCTATCCGTGAATTACTGCAATATTAGGGGAATTCACTCTAACCTAAACGCCGTCCACTACCATCTCGAGACGGCGAGGCCGGCACTACTCTTTCTGACCGAGACGCAGGTGTCCTCTCCGGCTGATGTCTCGTATCTCCCCTACCCGGGATACAAACTGGAACACTCCTTAATGCCTCGGGCTGGAGTTTGCGTTTACGTCAGAGAGGACATCTATTCTCGAGGCCTCGGCATTCTTGAAGGTTCGGACCTGTCCTTCCTTTGGCTACGCGTAGACAGCGACGACCGTCCGTGCATCTACGGGTGCCTCTATAGGTCCCATAGCGGTAATGCCGAAACAGACCGACTCTTCGACCACGTCCAAATGGCTACAGATTCGTTGCTACAACAGATCCCCTCCGCAGAGATCGTGATCCTCGGTGACTAACGCCCATTACGCCGAATGGTTTGGTTCACGTTTAACCGATCACGCGGGGAGATCTGTTCATGATTTTGCCTTGGCATATGGTCTGATACAACTGGTTACTTCTGCTGACCTCTCACCCGGACGGATATCAGTTTTCCGTCGACGCCCCTTTAGGCTTCTCGGACCATTGTCTTGTCCGGAGTGTGGTGCCACTCACGCTGAAATCGCAGTTGCTTTCTGCAGGCTGCCGCCGTGTTTGGCACTATAGGTCAGCCGATTGGGATGGGATGCGGTCTTTCTTTGCATCCTACCCTTGGGGGGCGGGTTTGCTTCTCGCCGGACGATCCCAACGTTTTGCGGATTCTGTCGCTGATGTGGTACTCCAGGGTATGGAACTTTTTATTCCTTCCTCTGTGGTGCCCATTGGAGGCAAATTTCAGCCATGGTTTGGTCGCTCCTGTAAAATAACATCATGCTATAAGCAGGAGTGCTACCAAGCCTGGGCTGACGCATCAACGTCCCGGGATGTAAATACCAGCGCTCTAAAAAAGAAGTATAATTCCGCCTCTAGGTCCTTCAAAAGAGTCATTTCCAAGGCAAAGTCAGAGCACATAGGCAGAATTGGCGAGAAACTAGTTCGCCTTCCTTCTGGAACCCGTGCATTCTGGTCTCTCGCCAAGGCTGTCCAGGGGAATTTCTGTCAGCCATCTCATCCATCTCTGGACAGGGGGGACGACTTACTGGCCCATACCGCAATGAGAAAGCTGATCTGCTAGGCTCTTTCTTTGCGTCAAACTACTCGCGATGACGGGGGGAGTACGCCGCCGACTACCCCTCGGTGTGAGTACTCCATGCCGGAAGTGCAGTTTACACAGCGCTCGGTTCGCAAAGCACTCCCCTTCCTAGACATCCACAAGTCGAGTGGGCCTGACGGAATCCCCCCAATTGTGCTGAGGACGTATGCTCCAGAGAGACCATGAGGTACCTTGAGGATCACCAGCTGATTAGTGACCGCCAATACGGTTTTCGCCGTGGTCGATCAGCTGGTGATCTTCTGGTCTACTTAACTCATAGATGGGCGGAGGCAGTAGAGTCCAAGGAGGCATTGGCCGTTAGTTTGGACATTGCGAAGGCCTTCGATCGGATTTGGCACAAAGCGCTTCTTTCGAAGCTCCCTTCCTAAGGGCTTCCCGAGAAATTGTGCGATTGGATCACCAGCTTTATTGCAGATCGGAGCATCAAAGTTGTTGTAGACGGTGCAAGCTCCGACTTCAAGCCTATTAATGTTGGTGTTCCACAAGGCTGCGTGCTATCGCCAACGCTGTTTCTTCTGCATATCAATGATATGTTGCAAACCCGTAACATTCATTGCTATGCAGATGACAGCACTGGTGATGCTCTTTACACCGGCCGTGCCAATATTTCTCGGGAAAACGTCTCCGAGTACCGGGACAAACTTGTGTCTTAAGTCGAGTCTTTGCTGAACAGAGTCTCGGATTGGGGGTGACTAAATCTAGTCCAGTTTAACCCCCAGAAGACACAAGTTTGCGCGTTAACCGCTAAAAAGAACCCCTTTGTCGTATCTCCTCAGTTTCAAGGCACTCCCCTTGTTGCTTCAGCCAGTATCCGAATCCTCGGCGTCGACATATCGAGTGACGTGCAGTTTCGTGGTCACTTGGAAGAGAAGGCCAAATTGGCCTCTAAAAAGCTTGGCGTGCTCAGCAGAGCGGGACAGTATTTCATGCCGGCACACCGCCTGCAACTTTACAAGGCGCAGGTTCGGCCGCACATGGAATACTGTTCCCATCTCTGGGCTGGGGCTCCCCAGTACCAGCTCCTTCCACTTGACCACATCCAGCGCAGAGCGGCTCGAATCGTCGACGACCGAGTGCTTTCCGATTGGCTCGATTCACTGGCGCTGCGAAGAGATGTTGCATCTCTTTGCATTTTCTTTCGCATATACCATGGGGAGTGCTCTGAGGAATTGTTCGGATTAGTCCCAGCCGCCAAATTTCGTGAACGCACTACGCGGCAAACGTCCCGATACCATCCACACCATCTGGATGCTTGGCGGTCCACCACTGTACGTTTAAAAAGGAGTTTTCTTCCGCGTACAACCTCTCTGTGGAATAGTTTACCACCGGCGATTTTTCCGGACCGATACGACCTGGGGACCTTCAAGAAAAGAGCTTACTCCTTTCTAAAGGGCCAGCAACGCACCTGCAATTCCCCTGGTGTTGCGGTTGATCATGGGCGGCGGTAGTCACTTAACATCAGGTGAGCCGCATGCTCGTTTGCCCCCTCTTCTATAAAAAAAAGTGACAACTGTCGAAGTTTTTATCGATATCATAGTGATGTCAGTCGATATCGACGTTTATCCTATGCTGATTTACTTGCGGTACAGAACAGTGAAATTAGATGCTCATTTTATGTTTTTCAAGAGACAACGAAGCGACAATACAATGATATTTAAAGAGTTTACAATATACATTTACTATTATTTGAAATGAACTTTAGCGAAGAGTCTCTTGAAAAAATATAAACCGTAACTAAATATGACATAACTAATGTTCGAACTCTACTGCTTGGTGTAATAATTCTGCTTACTTGATTTGCCAGCTTTACTGGGGAATTTATAATATAATGATTGCTCTTATCAAGTAAATTCTTAATATTTA